TGTCCAGAGACAACGAAGTAATGGTACTTGAAAGTAATTCGGGAGCCATGTATACCGGTGTACCCCTGTCAATGTTACTAGTTTGCGTTGAGCATACGGTGGCAGTCTGATTCATATCACTCCTGCTTTCGCCGAAATCAACCAGTTTACAGATGATTGGCTCCTTCTTCCAMGCCTCCCTTATAACTGCCTCGTTCTTTGAGTCGCAATACATCTGATTAGAGACGAGTATGTTGGCCGGTTTTAAGTCGCGATGGACAATGTTGAGGTCATGMAGGTACTTAAGACCCCTGGCTGTATCATCAGCGATCTTCATAAATAGAGACGAGAAGGACTCCATGAAACCATCTTCAGAGGTAAGAAAGATGATGAATTCTTTGAGAGAGAAGACACGCGATTGTAGTCCGAAGGGTGAAAAATCAAAATATACAAGTTCAAATATCATTGCTGGAGGAGACTGACAGACCGCATGAAGTTTTGTGATGCGCACATCATTTAAAGAATAAAGAATATTTGCTTCCTCATAGAACAGAAGCAGATTTCTTTCATGTTGCTCKRGAAGCTTTTTAACGACAATAGTTTTGCCATTATATCTCGCTGTAATTACCGAGCCAAAGCTGCCGCTCCCAATCACCTCCTTATCTGACAGCTGATTCCAGCGAAACTCTGGTATTGTGGTATTTAATGCCTTGGGCTTGTTTTGTCTACGGTGCTTAGCGTCGAAGCTAGGCAGAGAGAAAGACATTCTTCTTCTTCAAAATTCATATGTTCAGCTCTGTTCCAAATCATAAGCCAAATCAATGAAGAAATGCCGGGTTATCCGGTGTGAAATAGACATGCGCATCGATAAGTTGAAATTTGATATAGACTCTTTTGTGTATGAGTTAATCGAACTGTCAAATGTCAAATGTCACGCATGGTTGCTAGAAGGTTCATGGACTGAGTATGCAACGGGAATACACATTTTCAGAAAATTTCTAAACAATTATATCTGTACAATTAAAAGGAATAATTTCTGAACATCTCATATCGTAATATGAAGATAATATATTCAACTTTCAGAAATTTCTGAACATCTC